CATAAATATTGTAAACATACTGATTCAAGCCTACATTTTACCTAATGTCACAATAATTATACAGTGAAAAGATCATCATCAATGTAAACTTGTAATGTAAAGTTTATGATCTATTAATGTGAAGCTAACGAATTCCGTAAGTAAATGATACATAATAAATTTAACTCTAACACTCTGCAACAACACACAACATTCAAGGCATAATCAACATCAAACAAGATGACACAATAAATAACATAAATAGGTAGAGGAGAACTTGAAGAAATGATATATAGAAGAATTACATTTATTAGTAAAAATGCCTTAGATGATATAACTGTTTAAGGTAGATTGGCATGCTTATATATAACGGAGTTAATCAGCCACAATTACTTTTCTTAAAGTTATTTACGATTCTAAAGTTGAATTGAAATTTATTTTCGTTGTAATGAAAGAATTAGCCAGAGTAAAATATTGAATAATGGTAGAAACGATTTTTCTCACTTAAAACTTGTAGCATCTCATCAAACTCTTTACTTTATACTTCTTCTCCCACAATAGTAACGGTGTGTTTTTCAATTTTATTTTCCCATACAAGGTTAATGATAAACTATCTATGCAAATGCGTTGAGTAATAAGAATACACCTTTTTTTAATCTCGTATCTCATTAAGTTCTTAAGTGAGGCTAGGTTTATAAACGATGTAGTATAAAGGTTTTAGATCTCAATCGCATGAAGTGTCCAGTTTAACAGATGTGAAGTACAAGATAAAAACATGCTAATCATTCAAGATATATCGGATGATTAATAGATTATTTGAATCAGGAAGGATATGACAGTGTGAAACAAAAATGTTACAGACAATTCAAATCACTAACACATATAACATACCAAATTATGATATGTGTCTAATAAAGCTTGCGTATCAGCGATCAATTTCTCGGACATAACATATTGATCATTATGTACCATTCGTAGATCTTCGAACTTCTGTTTTAACGTACTGATTTCTAAAATAGATAAGTTTCCACATGAAAAAAAAACTAACCTCCAAATGCTGGATGATTTAAACAATCGCGCAACTTTGAAATCTTTTCAAGATCACTGCCGATTTTCTCTATCCTGTCTCGTTCTAAAATAATTAAATTTAGAGGTAAAACAAGATGTATGAGATGTCTGATACGTAAATTGATCATAAATAAAAATAATGCTTGAAAAAAGTAAAGTGGGGATAAACTCCACGTTGTCAAGTCATCTAAGTATTGTAGTCAGTAATATACGGTTATTTTTTCGTCTATTTAGTCATTTAATTGAAGGTGTATGCGGATTATGACAGCCTAAACAGTAATTCCGACTTCATTTTGATTAATCGCCAGGCGTAAGATCAAAATGGCGGATGACAGTGGTGTTTATTCCCAGTCGAAAAGTATTTTTAACAAGATGCATTTAAATATTACATGGCATACTGACCCAATTATCGATCTATTAGTTGAATGACCTTCAAATATTTTAAAAAGCACAACAGATATTCTGAAACACTTTCAGTCAATCAGTTAGTCAAACGCAATGTAGAATCTGGCACATATGTATCTAAGTTCAAGTTACCATATTCCATTAGGACAAGGAGATGAGATAGTGATAGCAAATCACACTCTACTGAAAATGAATAACTATGACTAACGGTTTAAATATTTGGAATATTAGTTGTGAGAGCTTACATTAAATACAAGAATTGATTATCATTCCTTGTTAAACAGGGAGTCTTTTTTTAAATTCTGGATTAAATCGGTAATTCGCATTCACGTCATATTTTGTGATACAAGCTACAACTGTTTGGAATATTTTTTTTACAGTTAGGTATCAAACCAAACATGAAGCGCGAAATAAGCCATAAAATGTCGCAAATTGATTTACGATAATGAAATCCTAGAAGTAAAAACGATATCACAAAGTAACCAAACGAATAAAATCGATAGTTCCTTTGCCCAAACTTATCTATACTTCATCAAACATACGATATTAAACAATGATAGATTTCGAAAAGAATAGAGAAGTAAGAAGGTTTACCTCTACAGCGTTCCGTTACTACATTTATAAATAAAAATCTACACAGGTTAACTATAAGATGTGATAGAGACTGGTCTATAATCAATCAAGCATTTTAGAATTATGTTGATTTTATTAACTATCCATCAAATGGACTTTAGGTTCCAAAACCCTATCATTTATTTCGATTCTAGAGAATGAAATAGCCTCCTTAGAATTTACATTCTATATATTCTACCTTAAAACAGACACGATTTTGTACTAGATTACAAGTTATATTGAAAAAGTGAATTGACATAATATTATGCTGGTCCAGAGTTATACAGAACATATGGCATAAACATTAGGTGACTTGTAGGGGTGATCCAGAAAACTTCTCGCAAAAGACAAGAAAGGATCAGGAAACATTAAGAAGCATTTTATCCAATCAGCGTTCACTTGAAATTTAGCCAGAAACATCAAGATAGTGAAAAGTCACATGCAGAGTTTTTGATCGACTGATTACTATACTGCTAGTATGTTTAGTAGCATCCCAGAATTTTCGGGAAACCCAAGGACATCTAAAATACTATGAAAACCCTATTTTTTCTGTACTAAAACGAACCTTTAGAGTAAAGTGCTCCTCGTATACTTTGCACCTTTTCTCTCGTGTCCAGATCGCTGTGTGGTTCTAGCTTGGCGGTTACGAGAATAGCTTAGGAACCGAATATAGCGTTCAAATTAGCAAGACTTATCATGACTGAATGTTGTCGGCAAGAAACCCTGCTCAATTTAGGTTTCCTACTAGTTGACACTCGTTAATAAGGTATACCTGTAATCTTGAGGGGGAAATGGTGCTTCTTGCTAAATTCAAACCTGAATCGTTTGGTTTTATAATCTGAGATGCTACAACTGTTATTTGGGCCACAACTAACATCCTGTAGGAATGACATACTTGCAACTGATTATTCACTGAATAATGACCGATGTTGCATATCTTTTAGTATACGCAAAAGATGACGAAAAGTAGTTTGAAAGTGAGATTAGATAAATTTGGAATAATGATGTGAGCTGTCAGAAACCAGCATGAGGTAAGTATATAATATGATGAAATAAAAACCTAAGAAATTTTTATTCGTTAAGTGATGGATAGTTACTATTTGATAGAATGAATGGCAATTTATGAAGGTGAGTAGTCGTCAAGAAAATGGAAAAATTTGAAAAATAAATACGATTGAATTTCATGATGTCAACGAACTGTAACGTGATTAGTAGGTGACAAGTGTTGGTGGTTTTTATTCCGAAAAGTTGTCCGTTGATATACAGTGCTGAATGACCACAGAAATGAGTTTATTAAATGATCAAAACTATTTTAAGAGTAACATAGTTCACAAAATTATGAAGTTAAATATCATTGTCTCTAATTTCTATTGGTGAAAACTGAATCACTGAATCTTCCTGTTTAAACATAACGATTTATTGAATACGACTTTCCCGTAATAAGTTTTAGAAGTCTTAAGCGGTTGAAAGGTTAGGATCATACAACTACATTTATTTTGGAATAGCATAACAAGCCACTAAATAGACGAAGCTTTACTTACTCGTTTCACGTACGTTTCACCCACCAAAAAAAAGTAAACTAGAATTTATTCTAAGTAGATGATAACAAAGTACTATCACCAAAACTACTTATAAACTATATCGAATAAACACAATTTTTATTGTACTTACGAGCTAAAATAATTTCAATTTTAGACTTAGCCAAAAGTGTATCATCTTCCATGAAATTTGGATCAGTATATTTTTGAATCTCATTAACTAGACAAAAAGAATTATTGAATAGAAGGTAAACATTGTAAACAGAAATGAAAAAAATCTCTTACTTCTTGATAGTAATTTACTACTAACTGGACGTTTTTCAGCAACTGACATAGCAGAGTATAGTTCATACAATTGATCCACTAAATTCTAAATATATATTTAATAAAGAAATTAATAAAATGAACTAATAAATAGGTCAACTTTTTCATGTTCAGTTGTAAGCCTTTTCACTGATTTAGTAGGTCCAAATACTAAATGTTCTAATTCGCATACTCGCTTCTCTAACGTTTCAATATTCATTGTTGATGACGTCTAAAGAAATAAACAGATAATTGTTCAACTACTTATATACAATGTTAGTAGGGTATTACAAACTTAACAAAATAATGAGTAAAAGAAGTCATAGTGAAATTAAGAAATGATATATTTTGTATATTTACTTCGTGTGCCTGGTACATTATTAATTTCTTTATATACTACATTGTACAATTATATGTTTTAAACAATTGCAAACTAATAAGATCATGAAGGATTAGGTTGTGGTAATCGAAATCCTTTTAGTTGTATCTCCAAGTCGTAAAAACCAAATGTTTTATGTTCATAGTACTCTGGTACATTGTAGATAGTTCCCGTAGACTTGTTCTTTTCATTTTTAATACATTCTACAGCTGAAAAAATAAATATTAGTAAAATGTTAGAAGTTGAATCCTTACTTTTCTGAGTTTTACTATTGGGATTATGTGGTGGTGACGAATTTGTCGTACTAACTAGTCGTAATGAACATACAGTCACACTTCTTCTTGGTAGCAAATTCAATAGTCTGATAGACTGCATTAAACTGTAAAATATAAATTATTTATATATATGCTATCTGGTATTATCAGTTCTTAATGAAACTACAAACATAACAAACAACATTATAACCATATCAAAAGGACGAAATTATCATTTTTATGATTTTATTACAACCATTAGCTGTTAAAAGTGACAAACAGAATGCACTGCTCACTGTAATCGAAAATTAACTTCGCTCATTTAAGTAACCAGAATAAACAAGCAAACCAATAAATTAGATAAATGTATATCTCTTTCCCTAAAGAGTGATGTTTAACAGTACTTTACATGAAGCATTCAGTTCTGTTTACAAAATAAAAAATAATTAACTTCAAGTGTCTCTGGACAATAACATGTTGGATTTGTGCAGGGCTTTTTCTACGCATTGAAAATACACAAAGTCGAATGGGGAAATATACTGATTATCGTGCGAAACGAAAGACATAGCTCCGTGCAGTATCATGAAATGCCTCAGGATCACGTAAGTATTGTTCAGCAGCTGTTGTATTCAGTGCATCGTTGAAATCGCATAAATCCGAAAAAAGAGATTCGATTCCCCAAACAACATCAAGCAAACGTCTTGTCGGTGCCCAACCAGAGAAATCTAGTGAACTCTGACGAAGTAAACTCAAACAAACACGTCCAGCTTCATCGATATTCGGATGCCAAATTTGTGTAGTACAATTGACTAGTGGTGGAGTATGATTATAACCTTCGGGAACAACAATATTGAAATGATAACTTCCATCAGCCCAAATTCCTTCATTTGGTCTTACTATTAATGTGAATTCATGGAGTTTGTTTGGATCGGGATGATGAATTGAACATTGGGAGGATATATTAGCCCTTAACTCTTGCAGTTCCTGTAACACAAGACGATCACGGATAGTAGCATTTCGAACGGAAGCCGATTGAACAGCATCTGGTTCTGTAGAGGTGATGCCACTTTGTCTTTGACGTATTTTATCCGCCAAACGAATCATTGGAACTACAAATAAAAAAAATAAAAACTATGACTAAAGCTACCTTACAACAAGAACGTTGACAATAAAATGTTACCGACCTTCAATGTGACTGCAAACAATTTGCCAAAAAATTCAAGCTTCACAAAATAAGAAATATGTAGGAAACTTTAAAGAGAGGATATTCTTAAATTACCAGTGCTTGATTATGCGTATGTTTGAAATATTTCACGTATATTTATGGATCATCAAGTTGGCAATTCTGACGTTAAACATAGAATACAAAGTATGTATGGAAAATCGACAACCAAGGTAGTAAATATCGACTGTGATGGTAGAAACATAAATTTTGTATGCTCAAACACATCTCACCCGATGATCAATGGTGGAACGAGTGAAAATGGGCTGAAAGAATATCAGAGACAGCAAAACCAAGATACGGCATCAGTCCATGAAGTCATTGACAATTGGACTGACCCACTTTAACAGGTATAAACTACCTAGTTTTAGTTCAAATGATTATCGCAAGCATTAGTTAAAAACTTTGGGTGACATGACTTAAAATCGTTCGCAATGACCCAGATCCATTCACTCTTTGTCTACCCTCAGATCATAAGTTTCTAGATTGCTCATAAATTTTTAATTATTTCACTAATTTACATTTTCTTAAGTTGTATCTTCGGTACATAATCTTTTCTATCACTACCTCCACTACTCTCGGTGTTTGTTTTGACCATTTCATCTCGCAGTGTTAAGAAGGTATGGGAACTTTAACCGATATACACATGTGTCAGCTTCCACGTTGCGTATGACTGACTGGAAATAAGTAAATGAAAAAAATGGTGTAATCTAGTAGGCAACATCAAAGCTCATGTTTGGGTTATAAGTCCCACTACCCGACTGTCTTAATTTTAGTAAAAAGGAACAGAATTTCTACCTGAAACCGAATAGTAAGTCAAGACTACTGTCTATCCAAAGTTATAAAAACAATATGTCTAAAATAGATGTCAGCTCACTTACCAGTCAATCACAATTAACACAGAGCCTACAACAAGCGTGCATTAGCCCAGGCTGCCATACCACATCAGCACAACAAGATGAAATTAACAAAATGAATATTAAAGAAATCGAAATAATCGTATTATCGATGATAACGAGAAAGATCAAGTACTGAGAAGATATGGTCTGAGAAGACAGACTGAAAAGGTATGCATAAAAGAATATTACAACTCAAGACATAAAGGAAGATAAAGAGTGAATGTGACTGCGTCATTGTGAGTGACTCTAAACTATTTCACCCACCGTTGCCATCCACTAACCGTGGTTATCATGAGAACCTCAACCATTCGTCAAACAACTTTATTTTGTATATGAAGGTAGTTGAACAAAGTAAAACAGAAAGTAATGGCACCCAACAATAAATCCAATGACTATCTCTTATAACTACAGCATGAAATCAAAACTTCCAAACGGTTAGTGAAACAGTAACAAAAAAAAGTCACTGGGAACCTTAAGTGATATAAGACAAAAATAACTATGAATCGAAGAGACTGGAAGCAAGTTACCTCAAAACGTAAAAGTATTGTAAAATCAAATCACTAAAAATGTCAGGACATTTAAGTAGATATGGAAAATACTGGTATGAAACAAACTGAATGAGTCATGAAATATTCAAAATTTAGAGAGAAAATGATGGGTTCATGTGTTACTGTGACTGATTTCAAGATATGCCGTCAAGTAATTACCTGTGACATTTATTTTCATTATGCTGAAATGTAGACTTTTTAAGCAATTCAGACTAACAGTTAGTAACCCTATGGTGTAGTATCAAGTTTTCATTTCCTTATATCTAGTTTTTACCAGCCTAATCCTACTTTAACCAGGATTTTGACTGGCAAATTCAAATTTATTCTCGTTGTACAAGTTTCCTAGCCAAAGGATGAGTATACTGCGCGGTAGTCTGCTGTTTTAATTAATGGCCGTGAAACATGACCACTAAATATACGGGATATTAGTTGAATATGACTGACTAACGTTATACAAACGTAACTGAATCGTGCTAAAGTAAACGTTTTGATTATATTTACCTAAGCCCATTTACTAACAGGTTTGTCTAAAAATAATATCTAATTTGGACAGAATGAAGCCCAGTAATTCAGTGTATATAACTATATTAGACTGACTAATACCTATTACGTGAGGGTTAGTATTACTGGCTAGCTCAAAACTTTGGTATGTATGGCTGATGACAAATACGTAACTCAAAGTTTAGTTCTACATGCATTATTTGCACAATCAAGTTACAGAGATAAATAGTAAATTCAATAATGTGTAATCTGGCTACTGATTTATTATATTTGTGTACATATATTCTCTCGAGACGTGGACATATTAGCGAAGCCGCCTATCCAGAACAACATATTTTTGCTGCTAATGAAAACGATATCTGGCTATCTTCATTTGGTTTTCAAAGTTATCTTGATGTGGAACCAGAAACAACACATTCAAGAATCAATTACGAGGATTACTCTTGCAGGTCAAATTACAGTCGACAAACTGGTGTGACGGTAATAAAAATCCAGAACTTGGCTCAAATTTGGAGGCCAAATTACACCACTTGTCGTACCATAGCTCGACAAAGGTTAATTATTTTATGTAGAGTATAAGTATTTTCAACCAATCTTTCTACTCATTGACCTAGATCGGGTAAGAAACACTTTAGCCTACAGAGTTACGTAATACGTGGGACAAATCAAACTTTTATTGCCAGAATGTATGTCGTTGCTGCGTCAATATGTATCGATCTTCGCGAAATCAAGGGGCAACGACTACACAATACTGATGTGTCCCGGTCCAAAATAAACTGTTATTCGATAAGGTTATACTGAAACGATCATCTATACATTTGAAGATGTGATAAACATGCTAAATTCCAACAGTTGTAATATTCAGCACAACCAAATGCAACTTTCGAATGCATTGACTGAATCGCATCGTATAACAAATGGAATGATTATTTAGTGTCATTTCTAAAAAATACCAGGTGACGCACCCACATAATAAGCATCTTCAAAGAGATTTAATTCCTACAAAATACTTAGTTCCGTTATGAATAAAAAACACAAACGATACAAATTCGTTATAGTAGTTCCCGCTAAACCAAAAACTACGGACAATTAATGATAACCTGAAAGAAGTGGATAAAATACTCTCTCGTCTTTGGTCCATTTATGCAGGTGAGATTCGCCTCTTACTTATCGGGCCAATACAAAGCACAGCAGTGCGTTCTGTATTGCTCTGAAGTTGTGAAACATGGTTTAGGGGAGTAGATATGAGTCAACTTCTAATATTTGATTCTAGATACTTTAGAAGTATTAATGAGGTTCGTTGACCCCACCCCTTCAGATCCCATTATGACAAATATGAGCACTTGGACTTCTTTGCTTTCGTTTGGCCAACTTTCTTCGCCGTATGATAGTTTGGAATAGTACGTGCGTTAGACTGAACATTTTTATAACTAAACGATGAATTCAGTCTAACTTAATAACATACCACTGGTTGGTGAGCGTTTCAGAAACAATAGAAAACCATAAGTCAACCGCAAATGCTTGAATCAGCCGATAAGACCAGTTTCTAGTCGTTCTAATGTGTATGTTTGCTTCTGAATCTACTCATGAGATAAAAACTGTACACTAGTTAGTACCGTATATATCACATCATTGAAAAAGTAGGTAGCATACTCGGTTTGAAACTTTTACCCTATAAAACGAAAGATGTGAGCCCCGTCATCTCCCGAAGTGAAATTTCACCTAGAAACAATTATATATATATATATATATATATATATATATATATATATATATATATATATATATATATATATATATATATAACATTGCTCGAATCCCTTTCAGACACCTCAAATGATCAGAAAAAATGCATTTAAAGTCAACAAATTGCTAGTACATGCACAACAGGTCGACAATTAGTGCAATACTTCTGGTAATTTTAGTTCCAGCATAATGACTTCATTTTCAGCCAACCAATACACATTTCCAGAAAAAATATTTGTCAGCTTTAACTTAACGGCCGTTCTTTAACGTGTAAATTTTGCCTGCATGTTAATTCAGGGGTATTCATAACCAAAATATCTTGGACAACACGACTTAGCCTTGACATACTCAACCGTCAGAGATCAGCTGTTTACCTACTTTAAATCATTTAAACTTCGACCTGAAATTGCTCAATGCACAAGTATTCTGAATATTCAATCTTTGTGAAACTGAAATCAAGAACGCATTGTTTCTTGGATTTTGAGTCTAAGGCTTTGTAGGTTAGTTATGTGTTCCAATTACAAAATAACTTTTTATCTTGATCCTACAAGAATCGGAGATAATAACTGAAAGTAGGAATCCAATATTGGTTTCTGATAATTGTAAACAGATTGAAAAGAGCCATCACTAGGTATGAACTTGATAGCGATAAACAAAACAGAAACAAAAATGTTGTAATAGACGGTGTTACGTAGTACAAACACACTCATTTCCGAGTAGGTACGATCCAAATAGACCCACACGTCACTCTTAGTCTATTTGGTTATTTTCAGAAAACATCTTCAGTCTTCAGTAATAAGGATGGTAGGTTGATGAACCTGTGTTAATCGCAACAGATTGCCTTCCAGTGAAGGCCTGGCTCCTCCTTGAAAATATTCACTAGTGGGGATGATACCACTTGACTACTCGATGAGAAAAACGGAACCTCACTTTAAGTTTATTAGATCGCGGTTTATGAGCCTTCTTGCTATGGCCTCGGAGATTATTAGTGCTGGAAGGAGCAAAAGGATAAGACATATTAACACCCCAATCATAATTAAAGATATGAAATGCCAGTATAAGATCACCTTGCGTCCTACGATACGACAAGGGGAAAAGGTTTAGGCGTTTTAAGAGCACACAGTAAGGGAGTTTACAAAGACCCTTCACTAATTTTGTTCCCACGCACTGAATACGCTCAAATGAGTTGGTATCCTTTATCAGACATGGGTTGGCGGCTTGGATACAGTACTCTAAGTGTAGTCTTACATAGATGGGATATAAAATACGAAACATTTCCTCGTCAAAGCATTTGAATGCTCGGCGAAATGGCCGTAGTGCACGAAAACCTTTGACATCAGCTGCGCTGCACTGCGTAGTTGTTTTCAAGTCACTAATTATTATTACTCCTAAGTCTTTATGTTCTTGAACGTTCGGAAGAGATGTACCATCAATAGTATACTTGTAACTATTACCATGTCCGATGTGCATGAGCACACTCTTCCTAAAATTAATTTCTAAGCCCCAACCTTGAGTGCATCTAACCGATTGTAGATTGTGTGAATCTATGTGACTTGGTAACTTAACCCGAATTATCTTCTCAAGTAACTTGACAACTATGCTAGTTAGACTGACAGGCTGGTGGTTAGATACGATCTGCATCTGACCATCCTTAAATATTGGAATGACTATATCATCTTTCCAATCTCTAGAGAGTTGGGCGAGTGAAAAGGATATGTTGAAGAGAGTCGTGAGAAGTCTCGAAATAATGTCCCCAAGAGATGACAGCAGTCGTGGGTGTAGCTCGTCAGGGCCCAGTGTCTTACAAGGTTTGAGGTTAGTTATCAATGGAAGAACAGTTTCTTCAGTCATATGTACAGATCCGATGGCTGGTATCTCGGCGTGATTGGGACAAGTAGTTGTAACAATACGCTTACAATATATTTCGCTAAAATGGCTTGAAAATGTCTCAGCTATCACCTAATCTGATTCAGCTAGTAAATCTGAATTTTCGTGTCACACTAACGGGGGAATACCATCACTACGTTCTGTTCGCCGTTTAACATACGAAAACAACGTTTAGGACAAGCAAGGCTATCATATGCCAAATTTCGTTCGTAAGTAGTACGGGGTTTAGCTATGGTCTTTTTACATATATCCCGGATTTTTTTTACATCCACACTTAAATGATGCGTGTCCTGTTGACAAGAATAAGTCCCAGAAGTGTTTCCCATGCTTAAACAGCTTCCGGGTGATATCTTACGTGTTTGCCATGGGATAAACGGCGATGTTACGAACTCAAATGTAGTCTTAAACTTATTCCATTTGCTTTCGATCGATCCATCCACGTTAAGCGACCAGTCAGTCGACATAGCACAGTTTCTGGTTGCCGGGATATTAGCTTGCCAGATATTGGGACGGAGTGGAGCAGATACGAATTGTGTAATATGTGTCCTAAACTTAAAATACAGTACAAAGTTATCACTATTCACTAGTGGGGGAAGGTGCTGAACGTCGATGGCATCCTCACAGTGGTGTGTGAGGACAAGGTCCAGCAATGACGAGTCATGTTCCAAGTCAATATGTGTCGGTTTTGCGATACATTGAACAAGTGCACACTGGACAATAGTTGATAGAGGGTCGCTATCGAAACCCTCACCTGGAGCTGCAAGCTTTATCCAGTTGATATGTGGTGCGTTGAAGTCTCCAATGATGAGACTACATTCTGCCTTACTCCATGAACAGATGT